ATATATATATATATATATATATATATATATATATATATATATATATATATATATATATATATATATATATATATATATATATATATATATATATATATATAGTTTAGTGCAAGAATTTATATTGCTCAATGAAGAGACAATACTTGTTGACTTCTGCTATTTAGGTCCAATTTGCACCTTTTCATGGTTAATGTCTCCTTTGGGAGATATGCAGACCTAAGTAAGTACCCATGAAACTTTGCATAACTAAAAATGATAGTTTTTTTTTTTTATGCTTACTGAAAACCTGAGGATATGTGCCACACTTAGTTATACGGATGATAAATGTCCTTCAAAATTTTCAAGGTACAAAATAGGATGGCTGATCTACTACTGAAATGGGGTATCTCAGTGACTCGGATTATATGGTTCTTTTGTCACGAATGATCGTCGCGCACCCACAACAACTCCGTTCAACGAACAGTTCGTCGCTCTCATCTACATGTACAACTGCTTGGCAGCATGTTTTGTCTTGGTTTTGAGTCATTTTGCTTGTAAAAATATAAGTTCGAATAAGTTACAGCGCTACAAAGTGACCGCTCATCGAACCGAGCAAAACAACCTAAAACAACTCCATTTTCGTGTGCCACAGGCTGTTTTCTGTAGTCTGCTTCCGATCACAAATGTCAGCTATCTCAACCCCTTAGAACCACCCGGGTGGCACAAGGCTTGATAGGGCTTCGGTATAGTGTTGGGCGTTGAACAATCTTTCGCAAGTTCGCACGTTACCTTGACGGGAACTTGTTGTCGCGCCCGGCACCTGCTGAGTAGCTGTTTGTGGACTTGCAACTGTTCGTTCAACCTTCTAAAGTCCTTGTTTTCCCCCTCTCTCTTTTCTCTTATGCACGCAAGATACTCGCTGACTTGCTTGTAAAGCTTTCCCTTTTCGTGAGACGTCGGGACTTGTTCGTCGCTCGTTCTTCGAACTAATCAATTTTCTCTTTTTACAGGTCCTTCGGGACCTGCGAGAGGTTGCAAGTGGGCTGATCTTTGTGGACGCAAATCGCAAGAGCGAAGTGCGACTTAGGCAACGCAAGCTAAGTTCGCGTCTTTGCCGCAAGGGTGCCTCGCGACTCTGGCAACGCAAGCTAAGTTTGCGTCTTGACCGCAAGGGTACCTTACGCCTTAGGCAATTCCAGCTAAGGTCGTGACACTTCGGTGTCTCCTCCTGGTCAATGATCTTATCCATGCACAAGCAAAAGGTTGTTAGTTGACATAACTTTTTTTTCTAGGTCACCACCATCATGATTTGCTAACCGAAGAGAACCTACAGTTTACACGCTGACACAGCTGAATAAACTGAAGATGGGTAAATGTAAAATGCAAATAAAGAAAATGAAAATTACTAATGCGTTCGGATAACTGGGGTTACACAGAATGTCATGGTGTTGAATTGACTTGGAACTATTGTTGCCTTGTTGTATGATCCATGAATGAGCCATGATAAACCTTGGTTGATGTTTCAGGATAGCCATTCGGTTGTAGAGGGTAATGTCTTTGGTATTCATTCCATCTTGCTGTCTTTTTATTTCAGGAGAAAGTTTATGCAACTAATCATGTGTGTTTTTGCACCTTCCAGTGGTAGGGACGATAACTTCTCGGGGGCAGCGCGATCTTTAGTTAGTGAAGGGTAAATTTGATCCATCTGTTGTGGATCCTTTCTGTTCTAGGGTTTCTGGCAATGGGGTTGTGTAACATTCGATAGAATGTGAAAGACATGAGAGGCTTCTTGCATTCGAGTATCTCTTTCTTTGGGTTCGAGATAAATGTGGGTTTCACCATGAAAAGTCCTGTGTTTATTAGCAACTTATGATGTGTATCAGAATTACTATAATTCTACTTGTCTCACTGTTTGTGCTACTGTGTGCATATCCACTTCTCGCCGGATGCTGAAGGATACGACGGTGTCGATGTGTCTCTCTCTCGTCGTGTACAGACGGGCGCACTGCTCTAGTGGGACCCTCGTGGGCTCCGGTGACTGTTTCCAATAACATACTGGCACGTCACGAACGGACGAATTGGGTCAAACATGGGCTCCATGGGTTGGCCAACTGTATAGACACGGACGAATTGGGTCGAAGTTGGGCCCCGTGCGCTGGCCTACCGTAGAGAGAGAGACACGAAATGGGTCCAAGATGGGCCCACACGCTAGCCAACTGCATAGAGACACGTCGTGGGACTGCGGAAGAGAGCGTTTCGGAAGCCCCGAGGTTCCCGAATACTATAAAGAAACGGAGGGTGCAAAAGGTCGCGATGAGATGGATCAGCGTTTAGCATTCGTTTCTTTTATCGGTTTGATAGTAAGATCTTCCTT